CGGGCCGCGGGGGGCCGGGAGCCTGTCGGCCGGCCGCGGACACGACGCAGCTGTGCCGCACCGAGGCCTGGGCCCCGCCAGCGGCTCAAAGGTTGGCTGGGAAGGGCTCTGGCTGTTTACACACGCGTGGGGCCCTGGCGTCCTGTTCCCAGCACTGACAACGACTGCATCGTGCTGAATCGCTCAGCGCTTTGGTTTTGCTGCCTTGCAAAGCGTCCTGAGCCCGGCGTTACTGGGCACTGCCTGAGCTGGGAAACTGGTGCATGCAAGGCATGGTTTACAGGCGCCATCCAAGCCTGCCGTTCCCACACCCCCGTGTGCGCTGGGATGGAGTAGCTTTGCAGTGAGCTCAGGGTGGGAATGGAGCTGGCAAAGAACATTTCCGTCAATCCGTCCGGCTGCTGTAGGCCTTTGAGGCAGCTCCCCGCCTTCCAGCGCGCACGTGCTCGTGCACCCGGACGCGCGCACCGCTGCCAAGGGGGAAGGAGAGAGGCTGGTTGCTGCCAGCGGTGCAATGAGCCCTGCACGTGTCCGTGCTCGCGTCAATATGGGGCCCCCAGGCAGCCCCGGTTCCTGCTACTGTTTCAGACCTGGGGGAGGAGGGAGCCGTGGAGATGGAGCCAGGGCGGCCCCATCTCCCTGCCGCGGGGAGGGAGTCGGGGCCTTGGGAGGGCTGGCACGACGTGCTCCGGGGAAGTGTTGTCTCGTGGCTGATTCAGCTCCCTGGAGAGGGCCCGTTTCCCAGCACAGCGTGGGATTTGGCTCAGGTTTCTCTCGGCTGGGATGTGGAGGGAGGCCAGCTCGTGCTCGGTCTTCCCGCGCCTGCATCCCGCGGAGGGGTGGGAGATCCTGAGCTACAGGAGCCCACAGGACGCTCCTGCTAGTGGGGGGTCCCCATCCTGCTCCTTTTCCCTCCCAAGTACCCACCAGCCTCGCTCACCCTCAGGGCAGTCCGCCTGGTTTCTGCACCAACAAGTGAGGTGGAGGGCTTTGGGGTGGGCGAAGGCTGGGGAGACACGTGCCGATCGCTGCCTCCTTCACGCGCCCTGCTCCTCTCTGCTCCCCCCAGGCTGCTGGTTGGGGCACCCCAAGATGTGGACACGGAGAATAGCACGCGGACGGGCGCCGTCTACTCCTGCCCCCTCACCGCCTCCAAAAGCGACTGCCAGAGGCTCGATATTGAGTTGACAAGTACGTGAGTGCCCCCCAAGCACCCTGCAGCACCTCCAGTACTGTCCATCCCAAAACTCTCCTCCTCCTTTGCTCCCATCCTCCAGCCAAGCCCCCCGTTCCTCTGTCATTGCTCCCCACAGAGAGGGCAAGGGCTGCCCCAAGAAAAGCCCCATCTGGCCCCCAGGGGAAAGGAGGATTTCTCTGCATGTTGGCATGCAGCATCTCCCGGGGTCAGGAACTCTCGCTGTGCCATCTTCCCAGCTCTCACGCTGTGTCTCCCCTGGCTTAGGTGAGCCGGACAAGTACATCATCGAGGACATGTGGCTGGGAGTGACGGTGGCCAGCCAGCGGCAGCCAGCTGGGAGGGTGCTGGTGAGTGCGTGCGTACCTCTGCACACCCTGTGCCAGCCCTCGCAGCTGTGCCGGGGGCTGCCGTGTCACCTCTCTCTCGACCTGTCCCCTTGGCCAGGGACCTGTGGGAAGCTGTGGGGTGACAGGGTGTCCAGACCACCATTCTGGTACTGTGTATTGGGGCACGTGGACCGATGTTTTGATCAGCCAGGGTGGAAGGCAGTATCTGGGGTATAGGGACCATTGTCCTGTACAGTGGCAGGGCAATGTTGTGCTGTATAGGCTGCTAGTGGCAGAGTAGTATTGCAGCGCATGGACCATTGGTGGCAGGGCAGTGTTGGTATATAAGGCCTGATGCCTCGACCGGAGCAGAAGCAACGTGTGGGCAGAGGGACCCAGCCCTGCAGTGGTGGCATTGGGATGGAGGGGTAGTCCCTCAGTTTGCGGGTGCCCCAGCACTGAGGCCGGGTGCTCGGCTGTGCCGGCAGGCCTGCGCTCACCGCTACACGAAGGTGCTGTGGTCGGGCAGCGAGGACCAGCGGCGCATGGTGGGCAAGTGCTACGTGCGGGGCAATGACCTGCGCCTCAACATCAGCGACGAGTGGCAAACCTACCACAACGAGATGTGCAACTCCAACACGGACGCCGAGGAGACGGGCATGTGCCAGATGGGCACCAGCGCCGGCTTCACCGCCAACATCATCTACTTTGGGGCGCCTGGCGCCTACAACTGGCAAGGTATGGGGGAATGGTCTCTGCCTGGGCAGGGACAGGGCAAACAGCCCCCTTCACCGGGGCAGCCTGCTCGCCTGGGCAGCTGTGCCCCTGCGTGGCATCTGCTTGGGGTGGTGTGAGGTGTGTGTGTGGGTGAGTTTGGACATGTGCATCTGAATGTGTGCGTGTGTGTGTATGCGTGCTCATGGGCCTCTGAGCAGGTGTGCGTGTCTGCATGCTTGTGTGTGCTTTATGTGCCCACGTGTGTGTGCATGCACCTCTGTGCATGGCTGAGTGTGCAAATACGCACCTGAGTGTGTGCGTTTGCACGTTTGGGCTTGTGCCTTCCCACAAGCGGGGAGAACGTATGCCTGAATGTGCATGCCCCTCTGTGCATCATGCAGGTGTGCACGTGTGTGCACCTCTGTGCGTGTGTGTGCTTGTCTGCATGCCCATGCATGCGTGCCGCTGCGGTGTGTGAGCATGTCTGCGTGCCTCAGAGCCCGTACACCTGTGTGTGCACCCGCACACAGGACTGCTGTGGGCAGTGGGCGGCAGCAGCTGGCAAAGGGAGCAGGCACACAGCTAGCAGCGAGGGGCTGATACCTGCCCTGCTATTGCAGGTACCAACTACATGCTGCAGCGGGAGATGTGGGACCTGCACGACTTCTCCTACCCCAACAAAAAGAACGGCAACACCTACATAGGTGGGGAGCTGGGGGTGGCAGGGTACTGGGCTTCTCCCCGGTTCCTTGGCAGCTCTGGGGAGATTTGGGTTTGGAGGAGGCTTGAGGGATGTGGGTTTAGGGAGAAGTTGGAGGAGTGTGTGAGGTTTGGGGATGTTGGGGGATTCCCTGGGCGGCCATGCCCTGGGCGGGTCCTGTTGCTGGCCCCAGCTCACCTGCAGGGTTTGGCCACAGGGTACACGGTGGAGATGGGCAGCGCCGTGCTGCAGCAGGATGCGGTGACCGTGGTGTCGGGCGCTCCCCGGTACCAGCACACGGGCGCTGTGTATCTGCTGAGCCGCAGCCCCCAGCACACCCTGGAGAAGAGCCTGTTGCTCCGCGGCCACCAGGTCGGCTCCTACTTTGGCAGCGCTGTGGCCCTGGCAGACCTCAACAACGACGGGTGAGTCCGGCAAGGCCAGGGCCCCCCAGCTCCGGGGGGTGGCGGTCTCTCCTAGGGCATCCCTTAGCTCAGAGGGCTCTCTGGGTCACAGCATAGTGCGGTTTGGTGATAGCTGTGGGGATGAGAGTCTCCCTCATCTTTGCAGGGGCTTCTGGCTCATTTCGGGGGTCTCACTGCTCTTTAGGGAGAGTATGTCTTCCTGTAGCTTTCAGGAGTCCCCACCTCTTCTGAGGGGTCTCTCCCCTTTCACTGGGGGACACTTGGGTTTGTCAGGATGGGGGGTTATGAAGAGGGGTCTGCCCACGCCGCTTGCCCGCGTCATAGCCCCCTATCCCTGACCTGCCCCTCGGCCCCACAGGTGGCAGGACCTGGTGGTGGGAGCCCCCTACTACTTCAAGCGGAAGCAGGAGGTAGGGGGTGCCGTGTACGTGTACATGAATGAGGTGGGGGGCTTCCGACCCGAGCCCAGCCTGATGCTCACCGGCCCCAGCTACTCTGCCTTTGGCTTCGCCGTGGCCAGCATCGGGGATATCAACCAGGATGGCTTCCAGGGTGAGGGGCCAGGGGACCCTCTTGTGGGGGGACCCCAGGGTATATGGCATGGTGGGGTTGGGGTGCAGCGAGGCTGCCTTTGGGGGTGCAGGGAGGATCTTTGAGGTTCACGGGAATCCCACTTGGGGGGTATAATGGGCTTTGGGGAGATGGAGATCTCTAGGGAAGGTTTGGGGTGAACAGGAAAGGATGAGGGGCATCTTGGTGGGGGGTGTTCAAGGAAGAGAGGAGGTGAGTGAGAATGGGATGTGGTGACTGAGGAAGGGTTGAGGAAGCTCTTTAGGGGCTGCCAGGCAGCCCCTACCCCATCCTCATGGGGCTAACCTGTATCTTCTCCCCGCAGACATTGCTGTAGGGGCTCCTTTTGAGGGGCCCGGCAAGGTCTACATCTACCACAGCAGTGCAGAAGGACTCATGGACAAACCCCGGCAGGTAACGGCCCCGTGGGGCAGGGGGGCTCCCTCAGCTGGCGGAGGCAGGGCTGGACTGCCTCTGAGCATCCTCCAGTTCAGGGGTAGGATGCAGGGGGATCTCCAGATCCGTGGGGCTGATGGGGTGGTGCTGCACGCAGCGGGTGATCTCCCATTCTGCTGTGCCCCCCAGGTGATCAGCGGCTCAGATCTGGGTCCTGCCAGCATGCGAACCTTTGGGTACTCGCTTAGCGGGGGGCTGGATGTGGACAGTAACTCCTACCCTGACCTCTTGGTGGGCAGCTTGGCAGAGAGGATTGCACTGCTCAGGTAAGGGAGCAGGGACTGGTGGGCATCTTAACAGCCCTCTGTCCTGGCACTGCCACCTCCTTGCCCTGGGGATTGTCCCTGCCTTTTCAAGCACCCTGCTCCCCTGGCGAGGGGGGCACATGTGTGCCAAGGGGGAGCCTGGTCCCACTCCAGGAGGTTCAGCCGAGCCCTGCCTTGCTACCCAGAGCTCGCCCTGTGATCAACATCCTGAACAAGACCTTGACGGTGAACCCCAGCAAGGTGGACCCTGCCCGGTGCACCCCTGACTCCTGGTAAGGCCCCCTGGCGTGGCCGGTCCCACTGACGGCACGTGGGCTGCACATTGCTGCAGGTGGCTCCACACACAGCCCCTTTTCCCCCACAGTATCAAGGTGACTGTGTGCTTCTCCTACAACCAGAGTGCCGGTGACCCCAAGTACAAGGAGAAGATCGGTGAGTGCATGGGGGAACACGTGTTATGCATGTGCACATGGGAATGGGCCTGAGTGTGGGGGGATGTACACAGGCGCTTGTGCAAGGGTTCGTGCAGAAGGGGTGCATTGGGGGACACGCTTGCAAGCAGGGGATGCACGTGTGCACACATCTATGGGGGAGGATATGAGCTGTGCTGTGAGGATGTGTGCACACACGTACGTGTAGGAGATATGTGTGCACACGGGTGATTGTGTACAAGTGTATGTGTGTGCAGGGGGACACGCAATTGTGTGACCCCCCAAGGCACTGCTTTCCTCTGCACTCCGCAGCCCTGGAGTACACGTTGGAGGCTGACAAGGACCGGCACCCACCCAGGGTGAGGTTTGAGGGGACGAACTCTGCCACCTACCGTGATGTCTTACAAATACTTGACACCAACTGCAGTACCAAAGATCTCCTGCTGGTGGTGAGTGCGCGGGGTGCATGCGTGTGCATCTGGATGTGTGTGTGTGTGCGTGCAGTGCAAGTTGTTCTGCTTGTGACACTGAATCAGGAGGACCAGGTACTGGAAGATAGGATGGGGGATGGTGAGGTACAGAGGCTTCTGGGAACAGAGGGAGCAGAGCATTTTCCAGCAGGAAGAGAGGTCTGAATCCAAGCAACAGCTGCAATGAGTTTGATGGGTCTTGTAGTCAGGGATGTGGAGCAGGAACGGATGCACATAGATGTGTCAGGGGGCTGCTTTGCTGTGGCTGGAGCTGGAGGAGGGACAGGGAGAGAGTCAGTGCTTTGCTGTGATTTCCTCCATCCCACAGGAGAACATCCGGGACAAGCTACACCCCATCGTGCTCTCCATGAACTACTCACTGGTGGAGAGACCCAGGACCTTCCAGCTGGGCCTCCACTCCCTCAACGCCTTCCCCGTCCTCAATGAGGACCAGTCCCACGAGAACGAGACCAAGGTGCCTCGGGGAACGGGCGAACAGGCTGGGAGGGAGCACAGACTCTGCGCAGGCATTCTGGGAGCATGGGGGCCCTCCAGGCTGTCCCCATGCCTCAGTGTCCCCATGTGTAAATGGGAGCAGGAGCAGCCCCAAGGGCTGGGCTGTGAATGCCCCTCTGAGCCTGGCTCTGTGCTTTGGGGATCAGAGAGGGGTTGGGGCGGGTGCTGACACACAGACATCCCTGTCCCTCAGATTGAGTTCCAGAAGGAATGTGGTGTGGACAACAAGTGCTACAGCAACCTCCAGCTCCAGAGTGGCTTTGTCACTGACCAGAACCAGTCCCTGCCCAGGTGAGAACAGGCTGTGCCGGGTCTCTGTCCACCTCTCCTGTCGGCTATGCCATCCCCTGCCCAGGCTGGGTCACCCCTTGGCCACAGTGTCCCCATCCTGGCATGTGCTAGTGTCTCTGTCTCACTGGGGTAGGTGCATCCTGGGGTGGGTGGCACCATGTGGGCGCTCCTGTGCTGAGCGAGGGCGATCTCTGCTCGGCACAGGCTGAACGGGACCCAGGTGCTGCAGTACAGCCGGGACATGCGGAAGCTGTACCTGAGCGTGAACATAACCAACATGCCCACCACGGCCTTCAACGGCGAAGATGCCCACGAGGCCCTGCTCAACATCACAGTGCCTGCAACCCTGCTACCCTCTTCTGTCCGCCCGGTAAGGGATGTTCTCCCCGTTCTCCAACTGGAAAAAGGGCAAAGGCCCAGGGGTTGACATTGCTAGGCTGTTGCTCTTCCCCTCCCCAGAGTGGGGCCTGTACCTTTGCGGAGACAGTGCTGTGTGAGCTGGGCAACCCGTTCAAGAGGAACCAGAGGGTGAGCGCTCTCCCCAGCCCCATTTGAGCCCTGCCTGGGGACTCTGTAGGCAGGCAGGGGTCTGGCCGTGCTACTCCAAAGTCCGTCTGTGTTGCAGGCAGAGCTGATCATCACCTTTGAGGCCATTGGGATCACGCTGGACACGCGGGAGGTCTTAGTGTGGCTGGACTTGTCCACGTGAGTGTCCCTGGGTGGGCAAGGGTAGGTAGAAGCAGGGATTGGAGAAAAGGTGTCTGGAAGGATCTCGGCTCCTCTTTCAGTGTTTGGAAGTGCAACTGCCTCTGGGGCAGAGCACAGCTGTGTAGCAATAGCCCTCAGCTATTGCTCAGCTCCGCAAGAGGATTGGAAAACAGTCATTTTTTTTTGGCGCCGGGAGCAGGCAGGACAAGGCACCCCAAGGCTCTCCCTGGGAAGACGGTGGGGGCTGCCCATGCTGTTCGGTGGAGGGAGACGCTGACCCTCGGGCGGTGTCTTGCAGGCAAAGCATCCAGGAGGACCTGCAGCCCGTGCTGGCCAAGCTGCTGGTGGATTATAACATCCAGTCGTCGCTGACCATGTGAGTGTGGCAGGGCTGTGACCCGTGTCCCTCTGTGCCCCCTGCATCCACCCCAGCAGCCCAGGCAGTGCACCCTGCTCTTTCCCCTGGGTGGAGGGTGGGTGCCCACAGAAATCCAGTGCTTTGTCTGTACCTGGAGTGAGCACAGCCTGATGTGTCCGCAAATCAGGCACGTAGATGCCATGGAGACCAACTATGCCCTAGTATCCCGCCCAGAGATGCTCCCTCCCTTCTCTGTCCCCTTCACCATGCATGTCCACCTTGTCTTGTCCTCAGAGCCTCCTCCCATGTCCAGTCGCACTTCAGCGGGACAGTAGTGGGCGAGTCGGCCATGCAGAGAGAGCAGGACGTGGGCAGCGCCCTTGCCTTTGACTTTCAGGTGAGGCCGGTGTGGGGCAGGGGGCAGGTGGTGCCCACAGTGTCAGAGTGGTGGGGCTGGGCAAAGGCTGCTCCTTACCCAGTGCCACCGGGCTCTGCTTTGCAGGTGACCACCAAGGGAGAGTCGCTGGGTGCCCTGGGCACCATCCTGCTCGGCTTCGAGTGGCCCTACGAGATCCCCAATGGCAAATGGCTCCTTTACCCCACGGAGATCCTCGTCAACAACAACGAGACCTGCCAGCCCCCCGGGGGAGTGATTAACCCCCTCAACCTCACTGTGAGTCGCTTTGCCCCTGGTGCTTTGCAGTTGTCCAGGCTGTGCCCTCTCTGGGGCGAGCACAGCCTGTGAGATGGCAGGACGTGCCGGTGCCCCTGCTTCAGTATTTCCAGCCCTGTTCACCCCTGTTTGATCAGAGTTGACCGGGCTCTAATGGGGTTTGTTCCTCTCCAGCTCCTGGAGGACAAGACCCTGTCCCGGCAGAGACGGGAGCTGGACAGGTCGCAGCCGGTGGAGCCCCCCATCACCCTGGCCACTGCCAAGAAGGCCAAGTCAGAAGTGGTGCTGGTGAGCGGGGTCTGGGGATGGTGCTGGGGGCCTCCGGCTTTGGGGGACGGAGGGGCTGGGGGTCTGGCACCTAAGTGCCCTTCACCAGCGCTGCTGGGACGGGGATGGGATGCAGATGCCTCTGGACACAGTTGCGGGCTGAGGACGCACTGCACTCTTCTGGCTGCAACCACTGGGCGGCAGTTGTCTCTTGCAGGGTGCTCACACGCAGTGACATGCGCACAGCAATGCGCAGAGCGACACACAACAACACACAGCTACATGTGAGTGCAGTCTGCTGTTACGAACAGCTGCAGGTGTGTGTATGCAGTCGCGCATGGGGTTACACACATCCTCCCATGCAGCAACACACCTGTGCGCACACAGCTACACACGTTTATGCAGCAGCATGCAGATAGTGACTCAGGTACATTTGGCACTGCTAGTTATGTGTGTATGCCACACAGCTTCAGAGCTACACACATGCACATGCAGGGACACAATTGCGTACGTGTACACACGTGTAGTCACACATGCACAAACGCATGAAGGCTGCACACACAGAGCTACACACATGTATTTACACATGTGGAGTGTACGCAGCTATAGCCACACACGTGCACAGTTACACCCTGCTGTGCAACGGCATGCACACAGGCGTAGCTGCACGCGTGTGGATGCAGTGATACGCTCACTTGCGCGCACCGACTCCCTCGTCCAGTGTTGGTGTGTGGCAGACTGCACTGACAAGGTGCTCTGCAGACTCTGGGGCTGTGCACCCCCCTGAGCGCTCCCTCCCTCCTCCCAGAGCTGCTCCAAGGGCACAGCCCACTGCATCTGGTTCGAATGCCCCGTCCACGACACCCAGCACCCCACCACCTTCAGCATCCACGCCCGCGTGTGGAACAGCACCTTCATCGAGGTGAGTGCAGGGCCCTGCGGTTCGGCTTTTGAGGGGGCAGTGGGTGCTGGCAGAGCTGGGTCAGCTCTGGGGTCAGGGCTGGGCTGCTCCTCCCAGGGACGCTGCTGAAACAGGGCACTGAGTTTGCCAGGTCTCAGCTCAGCAACTAACATCCATCCCTCACACTGTTCCCGGTGGCAGAGGTTGGAAGGGATGAGGTTGGCATGGCTGCCCAGAGATGGAGTATCCTCTGCTCCAGGACTCATGGGGCCACTAGCTAAGTGCCAGCGGTTCTGGCAGTCCTGAGACCCCTCCATCACCTCTGTGCCCCCAGGAGTTCAGCGATTTTGACCGGGTGAAGGTGGATGGCACAGCGACACTGTTCCTCCGGACCCACGTCCCCACCATCAACATGAGGAACCACACAGTGCGGGTGAGTCAAGACAGAGCCTCTGACTGGGACAGGCTGGGACTGGGGGTACTGGGAGCTGTCCCCAGCCCAGCCCTGCTTCCCCCAGTGAGGCTTTTCTTGGCCCTTCCAGTTCTCCGTGGACATCGACTCGGAGCTGACGGAGGAGCAGCCAGCCGAGATCGCGCTGTGGTTAGTGCTGGTGTCTGTGGCGGCCGGGCTGCTGCTGCTAGGGCTGATCATCCTCCTGTTGTGGAAGGTGAGCACCTCGTCAACGCTGCTCACAGCCTGGCAGGTGTCTGGCTCCCCCTCTCCTGCAAGCAAGTGGTGCAGGAGCTACTCTGAGACCTGGTGTGCTCGTGTCACCGATGGCTGGTGATTCTCCACCTGGATGTGGGATGCTCACAGATGGCTCCAGGCAGTGAAACTTGGGCAGAGGCATAAGAAACCGCCTCTCTGGATAGCCACGGGCAGTCCCTCCGGGTGGGAGCCGGCCCAGGAGGAGGCTGTGTACAAGCTGCAGAAATGCACCCACCTCTGGGGTGGAACGAGCCTGCTGCCGCTGTGCGGCCAAGGAGGAAGAGCAGAAAGAGCAGATCGAAGGCCCTGCCCCTCCTGGGGTAGGGGGACATGCCCCTCGGTGCGAAACACTGGGGGAGTTGAAACAGCCAAGGCAGCGCTGGATGATGGTACCTCCTTGTCCCTTGCCTCCTCCTCCAGCATCAGGTCTCTTGCAGCTGTGAGGGCCTCATCCTGCCCTCCCCTTTGGCTCCCAACTCCTCCCTGCAGAGGTGCAGGGCAGGGGTCCCTTACCCCCGAAGACCCTCCACTCTCTGGCCAGGAGGGGTCTGCAGCGTCTGCAGGGCCCCCCACCCAGACGAGCCCTGGGGAGGGGTGCAGCTCTTGCCCACTGCCCCTCTGCCCCTACCCTGGGTGGGTGGCTCCCTGCCACCCGCCCCGTCGTTTCCCAGCCATGCTCCGGATGCGGCCGTGTCTGGGCTAGAGCGTTCCCACCCTGGGCCCCTCATCCGTGTCCCCTGACCCATGTCGCCTCCTTCCTCGCAGTGCGGTTTCTTCCGGCGGGCCAACACGCGGGCCATGTACGAAGCCAAGGGCCAGAAGGCAGAAATGAAGATCCAGCCGTCTGAAACGGAGCGGCTGACGGACGACTCCTAGCTGGGGGCAGCCCCGTGGCCCCCGAGCGCCCACTTCACCCGCTTGGTAATGCCCCGGACCCTCGCTCCCTGCGTCCTGCTGGGCCGCAGCAGGACCCTTCTCCCCTCCAGCCTCCTCCGCTCTCCCTTCGCTGCTCCATCCCTCCCTGCCCGTGCCGGGCTCTGTAGGGCCCCCACAGGGGTGCAGGGTCTCCATGTGCATCTCCCTCGAGCTGCTGCAGGACTGTTGTTCCTTTCCATCTTTGAGGCCGCAGGCTTTGCTGGCCTCTGCCCCCCGTGAGAGCCTTGGAGCGGCTGGGATGGAGGCAGCAGACAGCCTCCTCGAGGTGTTTGTCACCATGAGCCAGCAAAGGTGAACGGCTCGTGCGAAGCAT